CTGCAGGTCCACCACCCACTCAGCCAGGACCCTGTGCTGTCAGGAGCCCTGTGGCCTGGCTCCTCCTCCCCTGCCCCCACCAGGGCTGCAGGTCCACCACTCAGCCAGGACCCCCGTGCTGTCAGGAGCCCTGTGGCCTGGCACCTCCTCCCCTGCCCCCACCAGGGCTGCAGGTCCACCACTCAGCCAGGGCCTTGGCTGGGCCACCTGGAGAGCTTCCCTGGGGAGCAGCTAGAAATAGGACGTCCTACTCCTAGCCCATGAGCTAGGGACACAGCCCAGGTTCTGCCAGTGCTGGGGAAGAGGGCTGGGTAGAGGGTGCGTGTCCCCCAGGGAGCCCAGGCTCYCTGCACCTGCACCAGCCCAGCAGGCGCCCCTGTGTCACCCTTGTGCGGCCCACAGAAGGGACGCTGGAGCACTGCTGCACCGTCCTCTAAACACAGGCTCTGGGGAGTCCTGGAGGCCTGGTGGTCAGCCACTCAGTGCACTCCCTGCGGGCAGCTGTCCAGGGCCACTGGGCAGCAGCCTGTGAACGCACTTCTTTCACAAACAGAGCAAGAGTCAGGGGCTGGGCCAGGCCCCGCTGAAGACCCCAGGAAAGCCACCCAGATGGCTTCAGGGAAGTGAGGGACCAGGCAGTGGGTGTTCCAGGGCCCCGGGCAGAGATGCCGCTCTGCCCCACCCCACTAGCCCCTGCTGCCCCTCACATGCTGCTCCCTGGCCGTGCTCTGCTCTGGACAAGCCAGAGCCCTTCTCTAAGCAGAATGGGGAGTGTGGGGCCTGAACCCTCCTGTCCCCATCTGTGTGCCGGGCCCTACCCTCCTCCACAGTGGTCCTCCCTGAGGATCACCCATGCCCAGAGGCTGTCGTGGACCAGTGGAGGGACAGGCCGTCACTCTGCAAAGCCCGAGGCCCAGTGAGGCTGCATGGGTCTGGGTGGRCCAAGCCGTGGGGCCTGGAGCAGTGGGCTCCGTCTGAGGTGTTTGGGACCTGCTTCCTGAGCTGATGAAGGGCAGAACCGCAGGTGGTGCCTCTGGCCCAGTCGGGCAGGCAACCTGTCTGTGGCCTTGTGATGCACATCACCGAGGGCGGCAAGTGAACCCTGGTGACAGCAGACTGTGCCCTGGGATGTGTCACAGGAGCAAGACAGGGGGCCTGCTGTCCCTGTCGGACGGCTCTGCAGACTGGCACCTCCTGTGTGTGAGCAGGTTGTCAGGACCGGCCCATGAAACCCTCCCTGGCATCTGCAATCTCCCAGGCCCTCTTTAGATGGGTCTGGGAATTGTAGCAAGGTCGTCTGAAGGACGCGGACCTGCGAATGCCGGTCTGCTGCAGGGCTGTGTATGGAGAGACTCGTCAGCCCAGCCGCGGGCTCCTCTCCCCTCGTGGTTGAGAACACACAATTCCTGGGCAGGTGGTGACTGAGAGCAGAAGTCCTGGAGGAGGGGACTGGGTCCCCCAGCTGCCCGGTCTGTCTGGAAGGGGACCATGACCCTGGGCTGCCCAGTCTGTCTGGCAGGCCAGCCCTGAGCCAGGTTATCTGGCAGCCAGTGAATAACTTCATTAGAAGAACAGAGAGAAGCGTGAGCTCCACTGAGAACACAGGCCCAGACGGGGTCCTCCACGTGGCACCTCCCCAGCCCGTCYCTGCAGGGCAGCTCCACTGTGGCCACCCTGTGCCACCTGGGCCTCCGMAGCGCCCTGCCCTCACCTGCCCAATGCCAGTGGCACTTCCCCTCTGTAGCAACCCTAAGTGGCTCCAGGCTCCTCAGATGTCCCTGGGAGTAAATGGACCCCAGACAAGAGCCCCCCTCCAGCCAGTGCAGTGGCTTAATAATACATGAYGAGGTGTCCACTGACATGTCAGCTGAGCCTCCCCAGGCCTGGCCTGTGGTGCCCATCTGCCAGCTCACGAGGCCCAGTTGACATTTCCATCTGAAACGCGTGGACTGGAGGACCTGAGAAAGGGAAGAGGCATAGAGGGACGTAAGGCAAGCCGCGCCGAGGAGTCCACTCGGCCGTGGAGCCACAGGCTCCCAGGAGGGGGAGCTCGGGGGCTGTCAGACACTCTCCAGTGTGGTGGCCMGACTCTGGCTCTGCGTTGATCCCCGTCAGCTCCCATGAGGACCTCGTGGTGTGTCCAGTGAGAGGGACGAAGGGTTCCTTCTCTGCCTGAGAGCGCCGTTGGCTGGCATGCCGAGTGTCCCTTGCAAGACACCATCATATGTCATTGTCCCTGCCTGCCGGGCTCTCTGTTGAGCCTCTGCATGTTCCTCAGCGGCACCTGGTCAGACCCATCACTGGGTGCCCACTTTGCGGATGAGGAGGTGGAGACGGAGGGAGTAAGCGGCTCGCCCGGTCAGCCAGCTGCAGGGTGGAGCTGGGATCAGACCCCGCTTCTCTCCTGCATGGCCGTTCGCCACCAGCCGTGCYGTGGCCGCGGCCTCCAGGGCAAGTGGCCACCGCCCCAGTATGCAGGGTGTTCTCCTCATGGGCCTCTGTGTCCTCCAGGTCATAATGCTGAGCTCAGTGCCAGAACTACACGGCTACATCGACAAGTCTCAGCTGACCGAGGACCTCGGAGGCACCCTGGACTACTGCCACTCCAGGTGGCTGTGCCACCGCACGGTGAGTGGGTCTGGGGGCTCTGGGGGCTGCGTCCTTGCTGACCCACAGCTAACCCAGCAGAGCTGCCTTTTCCAAAAACACATTCCCATTACCAAGTTTTCTTCCCTGAGAATGAGGAGATGGTCTCAGTGGACCTTAGTCATCATGAAGAAACGGCATGAGTAATAAGTTTGGGAGTGGCTTTATCTGGGCTTGGAGACAGAAGAAGACAAAGAGCCCCAAACCGTGCGTTGTGTATTGTGACTCTCACACTTCTCTCCACCAGGAGGGAGGGAGGCAGGGAGCCCTGCAGCACGGGATGACTCTAGGGGGTGCCCGTGCTGGTAGGGCCTGCCCRGTACGTTTCTGAGGACTCGCAGGAGGGCGCTTGCTGGCCCAGGTGCCTCTGCGGGCTCTCCCCTTCTGAGGGTGGTCAGGTGTCTGCTYTCAGAGCGTAGCGGCAGGTCTCCCTGACCTCTTCTCCCTCCTCCCAGGCGATCGAGAGCTTCGCGCTCATGGTGAAGCAGACGGCTCAGATGCTGCAGTCCTTCGGGACTGAGCTGGCGGAAACAGAACTGCCCAATGACGTCCAGTCGACCAGCTCAGTGCTCAGCACCCACACCGAGAAGAAGGACAAGGCGAAGGTACTCTAGCACGGGGGCGGAGGTCAGACCACGCAGCCCTCCTCCCATGGACGCGGGGTGTGGGGCAGCTCAGGCAGACCAAGGCRCGAGGGCTCTGGGTCCTCCCAGCACCGGGGAGCGCCAGTCACACCCTCCCAAGCGGCCCCAGCACAGGCCACGCATGTGGTCACGGCGGGGGCAGGGGGGGCTGTGCATCCGCTCCTGTCCAGCAGGGGCCATGAACCCCGAGTCCCAGCAAGGGCAGGTTGGAGGCAGGCCKCTGGGTCTCCAGTCCTCCGCCGGAGGGTGCACCAGGCAGGATTCCTGCCCAGCTCCCTCACCAGCAGCCACTGGGCGGTGGAGACAGAGCGGGTGAGCCACTCTCTAAAGTGCCCGGCTCTCACCTGCCACTTGCTCTCTGGGGTGAATACATCCTGCGTCACTTGCGCCCTGGGCAGTGTCACGTTGACAGCTTTGAAACAACCGTGCCGATGGCTGTGACCTGCTGTGTCCACGGGCTGCACCCATCTCTGCCAGGTGGACTGTCATTCCGAGCCCGGCCTGGTGCCCGCATAGCAAGGCGGCCGTGGAGAGGGAGGGCAGGGGCCAGGTTTCAGTTACCTTCCCGTTCCCTGACGTCAAGGGGCCTGCAACCCTACCCGTGCGGGCAGGCGTGCAAGTCGGCCCCTCCTCCCTCCTGCCCGAGTGCGAGTGGGACTTGGGAGCAGCCACAGCAGAAGGGAGGGACTGTCCGCCGTGCAGGACGCCCAGGTCTGCTGGCTCCCGGCCTGAGCCGAGTGCCCCCTGCGGGCTGCAGTGTGAGGCTGCCTCCCCCACAGGAAGACCTGCAGCTGGCCCAGAGGGAGGGGCAGCGCCTCCTGGAGAGCCTCAGAGAGCCCCTGGCCGAGAGCAGCGCGCACAGCGTCAACCAGGATCAGCTGGACAGCCAGGCCACCGTGCAGAGGTGAGGCCCGGCACCTCCCTTGCCCTGCCAGGCCCGGGCAGCAGAGCCCACACAGCCTCCGTGGACCTAAGAGCCCAGGGTGGACCCCCTACCCTCCTGTGGCTGGGAGAGACACTGGAGGGGCCTGGGAACAGTGCCTGAGGCTTCTCCACCCCACAGCCCGGGCCTCGAGCTCAGCCTCTGTTGAAACGGCATCTTTCACTGCAGAGGGTAGGACCTGTGCGTTTCCCTGGATCTCAGCCTGGGGACAGGGCAGGGCAGTGCACCCCACAGTGGCACAACGGAGGCCTCCTGGGTCTCAGCCTGGGGACAGGGCAGGGCAGTGCACCCCACAGTGGCACAACGGAGACCTCCTGGGTCTCAGCCTGGGGACAGGGCAGAGCAGTGCACCCCACAGTGGCACAACGGAGGCCTCCTGGGTCTCAGCCTGGGGACAGGGCAGGCACCCCACAGTGGGTGTCTCGAGCCAGGGTGTTGCCCCCCGATGTGAGGAGGGGCCCGAGCACCTGTGTGGAGCCTCACCCAGCAGTGCCATGGCTGCGGCCCACCTGGCACGGAGGCAGATTCTCCTGGATTCGATGCCTGGTCTTCTCCCACCTGGCCCTGGTCACATGCAGAGTAGGAGTGCTGGGCTGGGGACATGGGAGGCTCATGGAGGACCCCCAGCTAGAGCTGGTGCAGGACCCACCGGAGGTCCAGCCAGCTCTGTGGTGGACACTCCTCAACTTCCCGAGGAATTAGTGTCCTCACCTGTCAAGGAGGCCATCCGAGAACACCAGCAGGAGGGCGTGGGGAGGGCCAGGTGGCCAGGTCCCACCAGAGCTGTGCTGGGAGCCAGGGTCCCCAGGTCCCGAGGACAGCRGCAGCAGACCCTGGCCCCACCCTGCCCACCCCTGCCGGACGCAGCCCACTCCTCCGCTCTGGTCGGGTGAAGGGCCCAGGCCAGGCCTTGGAGATGAGGCCGCCCCACGTCGCCCTGGAGCCTCTCAGCYACCCTCCTCTCCCCAGGCTTCTGGCCCAGCTGAATGAGACCGAAGCCGCCTTCCATGAGTTCTGGGCCAAGCATCAGCAGAAGCTGGAGCAGTGCCTGCAGCTCAGGCACTTTGAGCAGGGCTTCCGCGAGGTGAGTGTGAGCTGCGGCGGCTGCAGGCCGCGGGGCTGAGAGGCCAGGATGCAGGCTGCAGGCCGCGGGGCTCAGAGGCCAGGCTGCAGGCTGCAGGCTGCATCTGCACACAGCACACCTCCAAGAAGCCTGGGCGCTGCGTTCTGCAGGGACCGAGGAAGGCTTCCAGAGCAGGAGGTGCCTCTGCCCCACTGTTGTCTTAGGGTAGGTGCAGGTCTGCCCGCGGTTGTCAGGAGCAGCCCAGGTGACCCCTGGACCTTTGCCCARCTCCCGTGGTGACCACCTGCAGCAGGGCAGGGCAGCCAGGACCCTGACAGCTGTGCTGTCAGGACACAGGATCCTGCCCCTGTAGTCACACTGCCTCATCCCTTCTCCCACCGCCGTGGCCTCTCTGAGTGCCCCTGGGGACTGGCTTCTCTCAGGGTSGTCCTCTGGACGTGTACCCTTCCTGTTGGTCCTGAGTGTCTGCCACGGTCATACGCACCCTCGCCATCCACCTGCTGGACTTGGAGTGCCCCYGGGGCTCTGCTGCTGTGGACACCCACACCCTGGCGCCGGTAGGGACACAGTCTGTAGAGACTGCTCAGAGGGCCACATGTCCAGTGTGTCAGAAACCGCTGGTTTCCAGAGGCGCCACGACACTCGGGTTCCACGGTGGCCTGAGCCGTCCAGTCTGCGCAGGTCCTCACCAGCCTTCCCTTCACGTGGGCGGTTCTGTGGGCGCTGGTGGCTCCGCCRACTTGAGCGTCTTCTGCTGGGCGCGCTTCCTCCGGCGCCCCCTGGTGGAGGGTCCCCGAGAGCCATGGCCATGCCCTGCCTGGATGGTTTGCTTGAGTTCCTCCTGCTCAGGTTTCAGAGTTCTCTGCGCCCCGCAGATCCCAGCGCCTGGTCCTGGTTCGCACATGTTCCCAGCCGGGACCTTGTTCTCTGTTTCCCTAATAGGACCTTTTGTATTGTTTTAATTTGATGACATCCRACTTTCCTTTTATGGATCACACTTTTGGTTTTCAACTGCAAATGTGTCCCCCTAAGCTGTGTTTCCTGAACTCTGTGTTTCCCTGCTGAGGTCCTTGGTCTGTGTTTTGAGAACCAGAGCACGGCTCGTGTCCTCCCCTGGGTGTCCAGTTGCTCTGCGCTGCTTGCTGGACAGCCTAGCTTCCTTACCTTCCATTCGGGTTTTTAAAMGGTCTTGTCTATTTCTACAAAACGCTTTGCTGGGAATTGTGTTAGGCCTGCATTTGGGGGTGAGGCGACGTCTCCGAGCCTCCCAGGCCGCCCGCAGGTTGTCCTCACCACGGGTTGGATCGACGTCTGTCCTCGGTGCGTGCAGTCCTCAGCACCCTGGGTCAGGACGTCTCGAGTCCGGGTCGGTGTAAGTTCTGCAGGCTCACACAGCCGGGTGGTGCGTCCCATTCCAGTGCGCGTGGTCACTGCTGGGTGTAGGGATGCGGGTGCGCTGCGAYCCCACTGGACGCCTACTCCAGCATTCTCTGGGGAGCCCGAGAGTCTCGATCGTGTTTGTGCAAAGACGGACGCTTCGATTTCTTGCTCTTTGACTTTTACACTTTTTATTTCTCTTCCCCTGTGATGCTGACCAGAGCTTTCCTCCATTGGATGAGASTGGTGGGAGACAGGAGTGGACGTCCTGGCCTTGCCTCCAGGCCCAGGGAAAGATCTGGTCTCCACTGTGGGTGCTCTCTGTCAGGCTGAGGAAGCGTCCCTCTAGTCCTCTTCTGTGAGAGATTTTAAGATCATAAAGGGATGCTGAGTTTTATCAAATGCTTTTTCCCCGTTGATTGAGATAATCATGTGATTTTCCTATTATAACCTGTTGATATGACTAATTGTATTGRTTGAGCTTCAAATTCTGGATCAGCCATGCATCTCTGAAACACAACTACTTGGTCGTGGTGTGTAACATCGTAGGTGTTGTTTAGTTATGGCTGGAGTATATTTGAGAATATTTTGTTAAGAATTTCTGCGTCCATATTCATGAGGATGGAGTTGTTCTATGATTTTTTTTCTTTCTTTTTCTCTTTTTTTTAAGTCCTGTGGGTCGAACTCAGGGCCTGGCACATGCTAGGAATTGCTCTACACTGAGCTGCACCCTTCCACTTTTTTTTTTTTTTTTTTTTTTTTGAGATAGGGTCTCACTCAGTTGCTGAGGCTAACCTGGAACTTGCCCTCCTCCTGCCTCAGCCTCCCAAACTGGGGTTCCAGGGGTTCGCCGCCATGCCTGGAAGTCCAGTTTTCTTTATTCTATTTTCCCCCTTTCTTACAATTGTCTTTTTCTGGTTGTGCTGTCAGGGTAGTGTCGACTTCGTAGGATGAACTGGGACGACCCTGGTCTTGGGTGTTCTAGAGGACAGTCACAGAGGTCACCTTCACAGTCGGGGCCGTGCTCCGGGACAGCCTCCCACAGCAGGAGACGCCTTCGGGAGCTGCTCGGCTGTCCTCACAGCCTGCCATCTCCGCCCAGTTCACCCTGGATGGATGTGCAGCCTGCCTGGGACTGGTCCTCTCCGTCCCTCGTCTGAGGCTGCTCCTGGCCTTCCTTGGGCCCCTGCGCTCAGGCCTGCGGTGGCTGGTTTAGCAAACCTCTGGTCTTGGTTGTCACGTCCTCTCCCTCGGTGTTTCTGGGACCAGGTCTTTACTTCACCGGTTTCTTGGTTGCTCCCTGTTTGGGGTTTAATCGATTTCCTGTCTTATCCTTATGAATCGTTGCTCCTGATGGCTTTGAGTTTATTTTAGTTTTCTCTTTCTGGGTTCTTGAGATGAGAGCTGACACTATTTATCTGAGAATATTCCTCTTTTCTGATGTGCACATCTAAATCTCCCCTGAACTTGCTCTCGGAGCCATGGGTGACTTGCTGGTATTGTGGGCTCCGTTCCCACAGGATCAGAGAGGTTCCTCTGAGGTCCAGCCTGGCTGCTGTGACCAGAGAGCAACACCAGTTCTTGGTGAGGTGTGTCCTGTGGCCCAGGACACAGACGCCCACGCGAGTCCCGGCGGGCACTTGGAGGGGGGTGTGTCCTGGCGTCGGGCGGAGCGTCCCTGCACGTCTACAGGCTCCCACTGGCTGGTGGACGGGGTTCGGCCGCCCCGTCTGGTGGATGTGAGCCGTCCAGAGGTCCTGGCAGCCTGCAGCTCGCGGCCCCACAGCCTCTGCTCACACTGTGCAGCTCTGCCGTGCGGCGCACTTGGGCTTCCGTGTCACGGTCACATGCTGTCCCGGCTCTGCCTCCCATGTCCCCCACCTCCTGCCTCCCCTGGGGCCGCGGGGCATGTTCCCGTCCTCCCACTTCTTCCTGCCCCTTCTGCTGTGGCTGAGTGAGAGTCTCGTGCGTGGGCTCGAGTGGTTGTGTTTCCCAGCCCCTGCTGCCCGGCTGGGGGTGCTGGCCAGGTGTCCTGCGCTCTGTCCCCGGGCTTTGCTTTCACAGCAGCCTTGTGTAGAATCCGCTCAGCTGTCTGCAGGGGTTTCTCTCCACAGCTCTGTGGCCATGGTTCTGGGTGCTGAGCGGAGGTCTCACCGCACACGTGTCATGTCGTCACTAGTGGCCCACGACACACACACGGGTGGGCCGGCCGGGCCGCGTCCCCCACTCCCCGTCGCCCCTTGCTTGCCGCGCAGTGACCTTGAACCGCTGCTCTGAGTTGCTGGACCCTCATCAGCACAGGACGAGCTCGGGCACATACCCCGGGAGCCAGGAGGGAGGCCTGTGGCCCTCACGCGTCTCCACGTGCTGGCCCCCCGGAGCCTCGGCTGAGAGGGGACCCCGTAGCTGCCAGGACTCCGACCACTTCCCGTGCTCCCGACGTGGCCTCCGTGTCTGCTCCTGGCTGGGCTCCCTGGGAAGGCTCACCTGCCAGCCTCGTGCCCGGGCCTGCTCACCGCTCTCCCTCCCCTGCTGCCCGTGTGGCCTTCTCAGGAGCCGGGCCTGGGAGGCGCTGCTGGGGGATGGGTCAGCACCCTGCCCACCTGGTCTGTGGGTGGGCAGACTCAGGCCAGCAGGATCGGCACCATCCCACCAGCCCTTCCCGGGGCCCTCCATGAGCCAGGTCTGGTCAGGTCCAGGCAGGAGGATTCCCGTCGCCCCAGAGCTTCATTCCGGTGGAGYGCGGGGAGGAGCAGACCCGTGGCTGTGCAGACATCAGACACCGGGCATTCGGGGCAGAGCGCCAGTGGAGGACAGGCAGAGCCAGGGGGCAGAGCCGCTCAGGTTCCCGCGTGGCTCCCAGGAGCCAGGCACAGAGGTGGTGCTGAAGAACCAAGGGCCGCCGCCTCCCCAGCGCTGCGGTGTGTCGGGCCAGAGCCCTGCCCTCCGCCTTCAGCCCTGGCTGTCTGAACTGTCACCCCACAGCCACAGGGGCCTGTGCACCCTGGGTCTCAGGACCAGCTCCTGAGAGCTGGGTTTGAAGGGGGACGCTGGGGAGAAGCGGGCAGGCCTTCCACACCTCAGGGTGCGCAGCCTGCCGTCTTCCTGCCAGCGCCAGGCGGGAAGGAAGTGAGCCACGGGCTCTCCTGCGCACGCCAAGACCTGTGGGGGCGAGGAGGACCCCCACGGTGCCTGGCCCCAGGGGCCCCCTGTGCATCACCAGGGAGCCTGGGCCCCTCTGGCAGGGCCACGGGCGGGCCACCCGGCAGGTCCCGCAGCCCGCAGACTGTTCCGAGCCTGGCGTGCCCAGATTGGGCTCCCCCTCCTGGGCTCTCTGAGACGGCCCCTCCGTTGCAGGTCAAAGCCACCTTGGACACGGCGTCCCAGAAGATAGCCACCTTCACTGACGTTGGCAACAGCCTGGCCCACGTGGAGCACCTGCTGAGGAGCCTGGCCAGCTTTGAAGAGAAGTCCAGCGTGAGAACCAGGCCTGGGCGTGGGGTGGGGAGATGCCCGGGCTGCAGGAGGTCAGGGCCTGGGCTGCGCTGCCATCCAGGGGCACCGCGGCAGGGGCACGGGGACCCCATGGTGCTCACCTGCGCGTCAGGGACCCCGACACACGTCCCTCTGAATCCATTCTCAGAACCCTGTGCCTCCTCTGGGCCGGGTCTCTGATGCCTGGCCCCCGGAGCCCAGCCTAGCTTGGGGCGTGAGGTGGCCTTCAGGCACCTGTAGATGCCCCTCCCACATGACACCCCTCCCATAGCCAGCACCAGCTCTGAGGGTCAGCTGTTGACCTGGGTGGCTGTGTCCTGCAGGTGGCCGTGGAGCGGGCCCGAGCCCTGGCCCAGCAGGGCCAGCAGCTCATCGAGAACAAGCACTATGCCGTGGACTCCATCCACCCCAAGTGCGAGGAGCTCCAGCACCTGTGCCACCAGTTTGCCACGGAGATCGGCAGGAGACGAGGGCTTCTCAGCAAGTCGCAAGAGCTGCACCGCCTCCTGGAGACGGTAGGGGTCAAGCCACACGCCCTGGACCACTGACCCCTGGGCTGGGCTGGTCAGGCACCGGCTGAAGAGTCCCCTCGCCCTTCCTGTCTGTGTTCCTCCTCCTTGTCCACCTAGAGGCCAGGTCCACGCAGAGTTCTGTTCCCACAGTTCTCTTACCACAGCAATGATTGACTTAAAAGGACCAGAAACTTGGTAGCCTGGTCAGTTCCACCACCACCTTCCTCCTCTGAGGGAGTCCGGTCCTGGGAACCCACGGGGCTCTGCAGAACACGCTACCCCTGCAGTGGCCCTTTGTCCTTAGTGGTAGAAGGATCAAGGGTCCGTGTCTCGGTGGACAGAGGCGAGGGAGGAGGGGGCGGACGTGGTGGGTGGGAACGGTGCACCTCTGACCGCAGTGCTCTGCTTGCAGTCCATGAAGTGGTGTGATGAGGGCATCTACCTGCTGGCCTCCCAGCCCGTGGACAAATGCCAGTCTCAGGACGGCGCCGAGGCTGCCCTTCAGGAGATTGAGAAGTTTTTGGAGACTGGCGAGGAAAATAAGATCCAGGAGCTCAGTAAAATTTACAAGGAATATGAGACCATCCTCAACCCAGACCTGCTGGTAAGGCAGCCTGCCCTGTCCTCGGTGCCCGGGGTGGGGAGTCGTCTGCAGGATGTTTGAAAGAAACGTTGGGTCATGACCAGCAGATAGGGCGAGGAGGGAAGTGCAGAGGCAGCGGTCACCCGCTCTGCCTTGCCTTCAGAGCAGAAGTCACCCCCTGCCACCTGCACAGTGATACCTGCGTCCCACCAGACGCCCCCTGTACTGGGGGTGCTCTTTATGAAGTAACTTCCTCTGGACCCCAGCCTGCCCCAGGGCCTCCTGACACAGCAGCCCTGTATCTCCCAAGCCCCACCCTCTGGGGCAACAGAGACATGGACTCCACCTCCCACAGCTGGCCCTGCCAGCTCTGGAGGAGGTCCCCAGTAGAGATCAGGACTCCGTGTGGTGTGGCCACGCCATCTTATGCACAGATGGGTCTCTGCACGCTGAGGCGCGTTCCCGTCGGACAGGGGGTGCTTGGGGGCTGGTGCCGACACTGCAGACCCTTAGCAGCTCTGTCCTCCCAGGATCACGTGCAGAAAGTCTTCCAGAAGCAAGAGAGCATGCAGGAGATGTTCCACCGCCGGCAGGCCAGCCTGAAGAAGCTGGCGGCCAAGCAGACCCGGCCCGTGCAGCCCGTGGCCCCCCGGCCAGAGGCGCTCACCAAGTCGCCCTGCCCCTCCCCAGGTGCAGCCCCTCTGGCTCCTCCCTCCCCCCCACCAGGCCTCCAGCGCCAGGCCCACCTCCCTGTGTGGGCAGAGGGCTGTTCCTGGCCTGTGGAGCCCTGCTGGGCTGGGGGCTCCAGGGGTCCACACCCCGAGCTTCCCTCCTCTCACCCACCCTGCTCCCCCTYGGCTGCAAGCACCGCTGTCCCCAGGCTATGGAGGCTGGTCAGTGGGGCTGTCCCTTCGTTCCACCCAGCCAGTTCATCACTGTGTCCACCCCCTCGTGGGTCCTTTCCCTGGGCCTTTTCCTTGTGTCCCCTCCCCAGGGAGAGCTAACGCCCCTTCCCCACCTCCTCCAAACCAGGCTCCTGGCGGGGATCTGAGAACTCTGGCCCTGAAGGCAGCGCGCTCCGCAGGGGGCCCTACARGAGGGCCAAGGTGAGGCTGCCCCATCTCCATGCCCAAGGCCATGGCTCCCAGGGAAGGGCCTCCGCTCCTCCTGGGCCCGCCCCAGCCCTCCTGGCTGGCCTCCAGCTCGACGGCCTGCGGGGCTCCTTCTCCTCCGACGCCCAGACGGGAGCCGGGCAGGGCCCTGGCTTTGGCCCTGGGTCCTTGGGGTGCTCCCACTGATCCCCAACGCCGACTCGCTGTTCTCTCCTCAGAGTGAAATGAGTGAGAACCGGCAGGGCCGGGACAGCTCCACGGGGGACGAGGAGGAGGGCCTGGCCATCCTGCGCAGGTGGGTGGCAGCTCTCCGCCGGCACCCCAGGCTTGGGTGTGGTGAGTGCCGGACAGTGCCGGGCAGAGCGGGAAGGGAGCAGGAGCGTGCAGAGCGGGGCACACTGTGGCTGCGGCTGCACACACAGATCCCGCGTGGCCTTTGGACAGCTCCACTGGCTTCTCCTGACCGGGCCACCTGTCACTTCGGAGGATTTCACCCTCCACTGAGCTGGCCGCCCACCTGCCCCCACAGAGGCTGCAGGCCCCTGGGCTTGTGCGTCACAGGCCAGGCTCTGAGCTCAGACACACCCGTCCCTCCACCTGCAGCGAGGCTCAGCGGCCAGGACTTCCTTCACCAGCACCCTCCTGTTCCCACCAGGCTCAGTCCCCTGGCCTGGCGTCCACCTGGCCTCTGAGGAGGTCATCTGTGGCATGGGGGAGCCTGGGGCGAGCACTGCCCCAGGAGTGTCAGGGATCGGGAGCCACTGCCTTACCCCCTGGATGGCCAGTGTCGGCCAGGTGCTGCCTCCTGGGCCGCCCTGCGGGGGCCACAGAAAGAAGGAAACCGCTGGGGCCCAGTTTTGAGGGAGAGGAGGAGTGGAGCCAGGGAGAGACCGTCCCCGGCCATCCACGACCACTCCACTAGCCACCAGCTAAGGGGGAGGCTCACCAGGGCACCAGGCCAGTACGTCCCCGCAGCAGCCATGGCCCCAAGGGCAGCGCAAGCAGGTAGGCGTGGCCAGCTAGGGTCCGTGGCTGAGGTTTTGTCATCAGTGACCACACACTGCCAGAGCACGGCGGAGGGCAGCACGGCCCTGGACATACCTCCTGGAGCCGTTTGTCCCCAGGGACCCAGGTCCCAGGTTCATGGACTGTGGTGCAGTCAAAAAGCACCTCCCTGTCTTGACCACTCAGCTTCAAGGGAGGACGGCTGGGGGCCAAGCACTCCAGGTGGTGACCAGAGCCAGGTAGCGGAGCACAGGAGGTTGAGTGGAAGGAAGCCGTGACCCACAGTGCAGGACGGTCAGTCCAGACCTGGTGGGCACATCAGCAGTTAGAAGGAGGCCAACTGACGGTGTGCGGGACAGCCCCCTGCCCAGTGCCCTGGACATCTGCACTCTCCCTGTTTACCCTGAGCAGCCTGCCAGGGGACCTTGACCTGGGTCCAGTCTGGAGAGTCTCCTGGGGCCCCAGGGACAAGCAGAGGGCAGGGTGTCCCCAGCACCCACAGCAGAGCCCTCTGAAGGGGTGGAGGACAGAAACGCGGGAGCAGACTAAAGCGGCCCAGCGAGGGACAGACCTGCCGCTGCTGCCTCTGGCAGAGGCTAACGGGCAGAGGGGAGAAGGGGGCGTGGGAGAGGCTTCCAGACACAGAAGCACAGGCCGGAGATCAGCGAGCCTGCACCATCCAGGCTGTGGCCGTGGGGAGGCCCAGGAGCGGGGGGCCTTCAGTGCTGCCGGCTGCTCAGCGTGGACTCACCTAAGTGCAGTCCGGGGCCGTTGACCCTGGTTTCTGTGGACTACGTGGCTGGTCATTCGCCCTAAGGGGGAGGCTGGGTCCTGAATGTCTTATTTGTAAGCCCGTCCCCCTCAGGGGCTCCCCAGCTGAGGGCACAGAGTGAGTCCACAGGGCCACTGCATGCCTACCTGCAGGAGTGGAGCTGGCTGGGTGACAGAAGGGATGGAGAGCCAGGCCCAGCCCTCGGGGGGCACAGGAGGTGCCCACAGGGGGAGCCTGGAGGCCCTGCAGCCCTGGAGGCCCTGGGAGGTGGGGCTCCCTAGTGGGGCAGAGGGAGGGGTGTTGATGACAGTGTGCATGAGGACAGGGCTGGTTTTCTGCAGAGGGAACCCCCAGGCCAGGACGTGGGTCAGGGGATGGCTCTTGGAAGGCAGCACCAGAGGTGGCCAGCAAGGGGTGTGAGGCCAGGGCAGCGAGGGGAGCCCTGAGAAGTGTCCAGAGGGCTCAGCTCCCCTGCAGCCCCTCCGGCTGGGCCAGCCCTTTCCTTGGACTGGTAGCTTATCTACCTACCACCTGACTCGAGACCCAGGACTGCTGCTGCCCGGCCTCACGTGTGTGCTCTCCTCACGCCCCGGCCACAGGCACGTGATGAACGAGCTCCTGGACACCGAGCGGGCCTACGTGGAGGAGCTGCTCTCTGTCCTGGAGGTGAGGCTCCTGCTTCAGGGGGAGGGTCCACTCTCCCCCGGTGGCTTCGCTGGGAAACAATGCAAGTTTGTGTCCATGGAAAAGCACCTAAGATGCCCAAGGCCACGTGGCTCAGAGCAGCCCGACTGGACGTACTCCCTGTCCACAGAAGGGAGGACAGAGCTGAGAGCGTAGATCTTCCCAGGACGGAGGCTTCAGCAGCCCAGAGCCATTAATACCCCCGGCACACGTGACAGGCTAGTGACAGGGCACGAGGTGGCCCAAGAGTGTGCAGCTCTGCTTATGGGAAGTTCTGGAACCAGGCAGTCCAGGGTGAGAGGTGACTGGGGCACCTGGGGAGGGTCTGCTGGGCCCAGCACTCCAGGAGTGACCGGGAGGTTCCTGGCAGCAGACGCACGGTGAGTCTTGCAGGTGCACAGAGGTCCATGCCCTTTGTATGAATTTGAATAAAAAGGCTCAAGAGGAAGGAGGAGGCCCATATTGGGTGCTGCTGGTGACCCACTCTGTGCCGAGGGCCTTGTTCAGAGGCCCAGCTCAGAGACAGCCATGCGCCACCAGCTCACCCGTCCACTCCTGCCTGACCTGCATCTCCGGGTCTGGTGCTCCTGCTGAGCTTTGCCCTCTCCCGCAGGGCTACGCGGCTGAGATGGAGAATCCTTTGATGACGCACCTCATTTCGACTGGCCTGCACAACAAGAAGGACGTTCTGTTTGGAAATATGGAGGAGATCTATCACTTTCATAACAGGTGGGGCCCTTCCTCTGCCCCCACACACTCTGTGACCTCTCCCTTCCAAGGCAGCCGGGACCTGCTAGCCATTGGTCTCTGCTCAATGGGGACAGATCTCTCCAGGCCTGAGGCACAGAGAGCGCAGAGGCACAGTGGCCGCTCAGCRCATCCTGAGAGCCCTCCTGGGCCTGCTCTGCTGACAAGTGCCCAGGGTGGCCCMGTGTGGCAAAGCCGTCCAAAGGACTGTGGTGCCGGGAGCCAGGAGTGGGCCGGACCCCTCTGTCCTCCTCCTGGTCCCCACCAAAAGGATGTGCGTTTGCTGCTTTGGGGCCCTAAAGGTCACACCACGTAGCAAGATGCACTTTGTCCTTTGGCGACCCAGACGTCCCCTCCTTGCTGTCCCCTCTGCTGTCCCCTCGAGAGCACAGGGTGCTGCTGTCCTCGGAGCACGGCTGCCTCTCTGTGGCTTGGGCAGTGCACAGTGGGTACAGCTGGGCTGCTTGCTCGGCTCCTTTCACTATGGGYTTTGGGAGCTCATGAGAGAGAAGACGAACGAGCCGACTGTCATGCAGGGCACGCAGAAGGCCCACAGGTGGACAGCACGTCCCTGGGTCCTGGAACCAGGCCCAGCCTGGGTGGACCTGGTCAGAGCAGTACCARGATACTGTCCCTCCACTTGCTCCTTCCTCTGTCATCTGTGCCTCCTGCCCACCAGCCACCTGCCAGTGGTCATGAGGCCCTCCGTAGCACCCTTGACCCTGGGCACCAGTCAGAGCTCTAGTCCCAGCATCCAGGGTGGACCCCAGCAGCTCCCYCTCCCCCAGGGGCAAATGCCAGCCAGAAATCTGGAGAGGAAAGCCCACCCTGGAGCCGAGGAGAGGGTTCCACAGGTTCATGGCCAGGGGGCAGGGGCCTCCAGAGCCCCTAACTGCCCACCTGATTCTTCTAACTTCCTGCTGCTCCTGCTGATGGCAAAGCAGCTGTGACCTCTGCGTGTGCYGCCCCTGACCCAGAGGTGAACAGTCTGAGGCTACGCACAGGAGGAGCCGGGGTCAGGCTGGGCGGCGGGGTCCCCAGGCCTGGTGGGCGTTGGCACCACACAGTCCTGGGCCATCCAGAGGACAGCTGGAGGTCTTCTGGAAACGGGCCGCTGGTTGGGTGWGGCTGGGCCCTGGGTGTGGTGCGGAGACTCAGCAGGCCTCCCTGGGCCTCCCTGTCCAGGGTCTTCCTGCGGGAGCTGGAACGCTGCACGGACTGCCCGGAGCTGGTGGGAAGGTGCTTCCTTGAAAGGGTGCGTACCCACCGCGGCTCCCAGCTGCCGGACACCGGAGCCTCAGGTTCCACTGGGGTCCCACCCGTCCCCACGCAGCCACAGAGCACAGGAGCTTCCAGGGTGCCGAGACGACGTGGACTCCCCAGAGGGGCAAAGGGATAGTTCAAAGCAGAGAAAGCCGTCCAACATGACGTTGGGCACTGGGACTGCTCCAGTGCCCAGGTCCAGTGCACCTCAGGGAGCTGAGCTGTCCTGCCACGCCTGTGCTGGGGTGGTTCCTGCCCTGGTTGCGGGCCCCACTTGCTGGACAGCACTGGACAAGGCTCTGGAGTTCCCAGCTCTATGGTCCCCTCTTTAACATCGTTGGCGTCTGCCTCCTTCCCAGGGCTGTGGGGACAGCTCCAAGGGAGGCATTTGTGGGAAGCTTTGGGTCGGGATGGGCCAGGTGCCTCCCAACCCGAGGGTCCCCTCGTGTTGGGCACTGGGAGAGACAGCTTAGCCACCTGGACAGCAGCTCACGGACAGCAGAAAAACTAAACGGTTCAAAGAGCTGGAGGCTGAGGCTCTGTCCTAGGTTGGCACCCAGAGGTGGGCAGGAAGGAGGGAGGAGCCGTCTTGTGGCCGCCCAGCCAGGCTCTTGGCGTGTTCCTAGGTGCTGTCTCAGGAGGGTGGGGAACCCTCCCAGAGGCTGTGGTCCCAACTTGCAGCAGCGTCTCCTGAGAGCTGATGAGAAGGGTGGGAGTAGAGCCTCTGGGGAGGGTCCTCCATGTTCCACTAAGCCCACCCAGGACATGGACACTCCTGGAGGTTGGCAAGCCCTGGAAGTACTCTCTGCGGAGAGAGTTGTCTGTGTGCCTCTGTTCGTAGCCGTTATTCCCGAGGGAAAAGCCAGCTATACTGAGCTAACTGAATAGTGAGACTGGAGCTCGGTGGGAGGTGTCACTGACCTGCCAGCCAACGAGGGGCACAGCCACCGGGGGCCAGGGGGACCTGGGCTCAAAGATTGGGGGGTACAGGCTGCCCATGCCCCCAAGCTCTCAGTGCCCCACAATCCTGGGATCCCACCGTCTGCTGACCCTGGGCAGGGGTTCCCTCAGTGGGAGAGGTGCAGGGCAGCTGCCCACCAGAGGCTGCCCAGCCCAGCAGCCGGCCCCGCCCAGCAGTCTGCCTCCAAGCCCACAGTGGTCTTCCAGCTCGGCATCCATCAAGGGGCTTGCCCAGGGACAGATCTAGAAAGTCCAAGGCAGGCCAGGAAGGCTGAGTCAAGAGAGGTGGAGGTGACTGTGGGGAGCCCAACCTGGCCTTCTCTCTAAAACGAGCCCTGTCAGAGGCAGCACRGCACTGCCCTGCCCACAGAGCCATCTGCACCCCAAGTCACGGTGCCCCAGACCATCCACACCCCAAGCCCCAGGCCCCCCGATGCTCAGAGACCGGCAGACACCTCCAGGTGACCATGTGACACGTGCGTCCCCTGGCTGCAGATGGAGGACTTCCAGATCTATGAGAAGTACTGTCAGAACAAGCCCCGCTCCGAGAGCCTGTGGAGACAGTGCTCCGCCTGTCCCTTCTTCCAGGTGCGTCTCAGGGCCCTTCCGAGGGCCTGTTCCTCTGCGGTTGGCCCCAGGGACCGTGGGCGTGGTCTGACCCCGGCCTCTGTGGTTCCAGGAGTGCCAGAAGAAGCTGGAYCACAAGCTGAGCCTGGACTCCTACCTGCTGAAGCCCGTGCAGAGGATAACCAAGTACCAGCTGCTGCTCAAGGTGGGCCTCCCTGGCCGCCTCCCCCACCTGCGGCCAGGCCCAGGCCTGGGCCTCTTCCCCCGAAACCCTGCCTCCAAGCCAAGAGGTACCTTCTGAGCCACTTGGTTCCCCCTTGCTGTGGCCCTGCTCATCGGCCACTTGTGTGGCCCACTGTGTGCTAGACGTGGTCAGGGCCAGGGACAGAGGTCAACAGCTGGACAGACCCCCCTCCCATGGGTTTCTGCTCATCACCTGCAGGATGCTGTGCAGACAGGCCCATGAGTCTCCTCAGGGGGGGCCATGCCCTGCTGATCCTGCTGGCCCCSAGCCCATCCGGGAGAGGGGAGGGGTGAGCTGAAGAGCCCTCCTGCGGGTCTGCCCAGCGTCCACTCTGTGTCTTCACTGGGGCTCCTGGCAGGAGGAGCTCCTCGGGAGGGGTGCCGCGGGCATGCCCCTGCCTGTGCTCCTGTCTGCCGTSGGCTGGCTGAGGGAGCCGGCAGCCACTTGCTGAAGAGTGTGCGGGCATGGTGGCTGGCGGTGTCCCAGCTGAAGTCACGCCAGGCTGGCTGGGGCCAGTTCAGGGGCTGCATTCTGGACAGCCAGTGTCCTGGGGAGCCAGGTGAGCAGGTCCTTCTGTCCCCCGCCGGCCCCAGGAAATGCTGAAGTACAGYAGGAACTGCGAGGGGGCCGAGGACCTGCAGGAGGCGCTGAGCTCCATCCTGGGCATCCTCAAGGCCGTGAACGACTCCATGCACCTCATCGCCATCACCGGCTATGACGTGAGGACCCAGGGCCGGGGCGGGGCATCCACAGGGCTTCCTGCAAGGATTCCAAGCTCCAAGCCCCCTAAGCTTGGAGGTGACAGGCGTTGCCCAGAACCTGGCGGCAGCCTGGGTCCTGGGTCAGGAGGTCTGGGTGGACCTAAGAGGAGCAGGAGGCCACATGGGGCCCCTCTGCACGTGGGGAGAGGCAGGAACGTTCCTCCCAAGGGCACGGGTCTCCAGCAGGACAGGGTTCTCGCCTCCCCCCTCCACTCTGCCCTGACAACAGCCGTCCCTGATGAGCAGCTGTGACCACCTGTTTCCTGTGGTGTGGCTTGGGGCAGGCGACTGACGGCAAGTGGCCATCGGAGGCACACTGCTGTTTGCCCCTCATAGGCCCGTCTCAGGCCGCTGAAGCCTTTGCCCCCTGTCCACTTGGCACTCAATCTCATTTTAAATTAATAGATGTGACTTGTTTACGCAGAGATGCCACACCTCCTCCTGTGACTGACGTCTTGCATTAGTGGCACACCTGCCAGTGTTGACGTGTCACTGTCACGTGCGGCTCAGAGTCGAGGGTGTTCTCCCGGGGCTGAGCATTCCGTAGTTGGGGATAATGCATAATCTTCTGTGTCCAGTGTTGCAGTGTCACGGTCTGACAGCCCGAGGACCCTCTGTCTGCCTCATGTCCCTCCTCCTCCCAGTCCCCGGCAGTCACCCATCTTTCATTGTCCCCATGGTTTTGGCTCCTGAGAGTGCCCTGGGCTGGGAAGTGGCCTCTGCAGGGGGAAGCTGCCCAGGCCCCACCTCGGCCCCTGACGCCCTGGGCTCTGTCCTGTGGCAGGGGAACCTCAGTGACCTGGGGAAGCTGCTGATGCAGGGCTCCTTCAGTGTGTGGACAGACCACAAGAAGGGCCACACCAAGGTGAAGGAGCTGGCCAGGTTCAAGCCCATGCAGCGGCACCTGTTCCTGCACGAGAAGGCCGTGCTCTTCTGCAAGAAGCGGGAGGAGAACGGGGAGGGCTATGAGAAGGCCCCCTCCTACAGCTACAAGCAGTCCTTGAATGTGAGTGAGACTGCGGTGCAGACCTGCGGTCCCAGGGAGGGACGCCTGTGGCCGGGTCGGTGTCTAACAAAGCCTGGGTCTGACCCCRCGGGCACTGGTGCCCAGCACCAGGTGAGGACCCCAGGACCGAGGGGCGTGGTCTTTAGGTTGAGAGTTGGGGTTCCCGCCACCTTGCCCCCATGTCTTCAAGCCAGTGGACATTGACACTGGTCTCTGATTCTGCACTCACCAGATGACTGCCGTGGGCATCACAGAGAATGTGAAGGGTGACGCCAAGAAGTTTGAGATCTGGTATAACGCGAGGGAGGAGGTCTACATCGTCCAGGTAGGGCACTCACCTGTCCACAGGCCAGGTGCAGGGGAGCCCTCCTCCTCAGGACGGCCTGGGAAAGCCCTCTCGATAGGCCTTGTGTCTTCTGCCCCGGGTGACGGACCTGAGCAGGATCCAGGGTGGACCGCGCAGGAGAGGGCTTCGTCTCAGGGCCTGGTTCCCTGGTGGAGAAGTGGTGGCACTGTCCTCGCTGAGCGGATGGGGAGCCAGAGCTGAAATGTAGACTCGGGACACAGCCCTTGGCTTGAGGCCCTAGTTGACCCAAGTGCCCTGTGAGGGGCTGAGCCACGTGTGGGGCGGGGCCCGGCCACGTGCTCTTCAGGATTCTAACACAAAGGATGACATGGCCCTGCGCAGGGGGCATGGGCAGGCAGCCCTGAAGCCCAGGATGCCCTCCAGCCCTGCCACCAACGCCCCGCAGAGCCGAGACAAGCAGGGGCCCTGCTCGGACCCCTCACGGCCCCCCAAGGAGCAGCCCATCTGGAAGCACTCGGCTCGGAGCCCAGGGGCCCAGGGCCTCTTGCTGTCCTGAGCCTGCACAGCAGCCCTGTGACTGCTCCAACCCGGGCCCCCCACCTGGCCGTTTGTCATCGACCTGTGGGCTTCAGACCAGCCACTGATCTTGTCACCTAAAGAGACCCAGCATAGGTTTGCTGGAGACCCCACGGTGGTCCCCAGAGCTCCAGCCTCCTGACAGGTGACTGTGGGCACGGCTGCAAGGCCCTTTCCTCTGCAAGGCAAGCGTCCCACGAATGGGTCCCCATCTGTCCCTGTGACTCATGGCAGTGATCTGACTGGATTCCCAGGAGTGTCCTTGGAAGTCTCAAGAGTGCATGTCACTGGGGACCCCGGTACTCACTCCTGCATTTCTTTTGGGGAACAGGCACCAACTCCTGAAATTAAAGCCGCGTGGGTGAATGAGATTCGGAAGGTGCTGACCAGCCAGCTGCAGGCGTGTCGAGGTGAGGGCCCGGCACCACTTCCTGTCCCCTCAGGCATCCACAGCTCCCACAGGCTGCCTGAGCGCAGAGCACACTGACACGGCCTGCGGCCTTCCTTCCCCTGCAGAGGCCAGCCAGCACAGGACCCTGGAGCAGTCCCACAGCCTGCCCCTGCCCGCGCCGTCCAGCACCAGGTGAGGCCCACACAAGGCTGGGAGCCTGGCACAGCTGGCACGGCCCTGGAGCTCACTCACAACTGTCACCGGGGCCTCCTGGTCCTGGGGCCACGTTTGCCCCAGGTCCCTCCAGTGTCATTGTCTGGGAATTACATGCTGGTGGCTTCCCCGAGGGTCAGCCCCAGAGACGCCCTTGGCCCGCTCCCCGCCATCCCATCCCCAGCCTCCTGACTGTTGCTCCCTGTGGTCTGTTTCCCACGACGGTGGGGACTTCGCCGTGCACTGCTTTGTCCTCTCTCTGTCCTCATTTTTCCTTTGTTATTTTATTGGTTCACTTTATTCTTCCTCTTTCTTACAAAAGTCACCTTGTATCACTCATGGAATCAGTGGAGCCCAAATAAATGAGCCCTAAACAGAGACTTTAGAGAGACCCCCCCAGCGACTCCCCCTGGTGGGGAGGAGGGTGCTTCCTGCTCTCACCTGCTCCCTGGCTGGACCGCCACTGGGCCACACTGGCTGTCCAGGGCTGCTCCCTGCTCTGAGGCAGTATGGTGGGCTGCCTGGGGGTGGGCTGGGAGCCGAGAGCACCCAGACTCCCATCCTCAGAGAGTTCTGGAAGCTCACCGGGCAGCCGTTTTGTGTGTCTGATGTCACCAGCCCCTCAGAAGGGAACTCGAGACACGTCAAGAAGCTGGAGGAGAGGAAGACAGACCCCCTGAGTCTGGAAGGATATGTGAGCTCGTCGCTGCYGAAGCCCCCCGAGAAAGGCAAAGGTGGGTGTCTGCCGTGACACGAGTGACCCGTGCCTCCACAGAGTGTTTCTCCGGCCATGTGCGGGGACGTGCCCTTCCTGGGGCACTGGGCGCAGTGCTGGGACTCAGGGTCCCCTCCCCCTCCAGAGGGCCTGGGACTCACTGCCCACCCCGCATTCTGACTCTCTGCGCCCCGCTCCAGCCAACTCGGGGAAGCATGAGGACCGGCCCCTGGGCTCTCTGCCCGCCACGCTGGCCGGGCTGCAGGCCCTCTGCACGTCTCTCTTCCTCCTAGATGACGCGGTCTCTAGCTCTACTTCAGAAAGTTCCGCACTTTCCAGAAAGCGCTTCACCCTGCAGGGCTTTGCTAACCTCAAAGGTCAGAGAGGTAAAGAGGCACTGCTGCCTGAGGTCTGCTTCACCTGTGTTCCTGTGGGGGCCTCTGTCTTGCATGGTGTGGTGGCCACCTGGGGGGGCCTTCTCAGGAGGCCCCGCCCCTTCATCCCATGCACAGCCCATCCAAAGCTCTTTCACAGCATCCTCCTGTGACCCCTGAGTGTCCATTACCAACTCCCAAAGTCACCTTTCAGGGTGTCCTTTTGAAAATGTCAAGGCCAGCTCTGTGGGCCTGCTCCGACCTGGGCTTCCTGGCTCTCTGGCCCGACTCTGCTCTCCCTGCCCTGCCCGCCCCTCTTTTCCCCTAGCTGCCCAGCAGTTGTCCTTCTGGCTGCAAACACTCTCCCACCACAGCCGAGACCCTGGTCAGGTACCCTCTCGGGCACCTGCTGGTGAGCGGGCTGGCCAAGGATGCCCGATGGAGATCCCATCGGCTCCATCGGCCTGGAGTGCTCCTTGGTGGCCAGAGGCCTGGCCCCCAGCCCTGGAAGGCTCCCTCCCAGTGCCTGAGGCCAGGCTGACCAGGGCCCTCTCCGGTGGCCAGATGCTGGTGCAGAGAACGGTGGGCTCTTCTCAGTGTGGATGATGCTTTCGGCCGGCGTCAGGCCTGAGGGGCGCAGCAGCCCTCACAGTGCTGCACCTTTGATGACGCAGAGCCCAGGACAGGTCCTGGGGCGGAGCCCAAGCCACMGCCCAGCAGCCCCCCTTCTCCCCCCTGCCCTCCCCCTCCCCCGTGCCACCTCGCCTGCCCGCAAAGCTACTCTTGATCTGGAGGGAACCCCTGGTGCTGTGTGCATCCCATCTCACGGGCCCCCTCCGCCCCTGGCCACCCCTCACTCTCTCTCTCTGCCTCTGCCTCCTCCTGCAGCTTCTCCTACCAGTCCTGACAGAAAGGCTAAGCGGCATGCAGTAAAGAGCGACCCGACTCCCTTTGGTTTGCGAGGTAGCATGGCTCAGCTGCTGGACACCGGCCGGGAGGGCGCTGTGTGGCCCACGCAGGTCACCTAGGATGACACGAGCAGGCCCCACAGCCAGAGGTGGCCCTGGTGGCCTACAGCTAGATGCCTGGTGACAGATGCTGGGGGACCCTGGCTTCCCACTGACCCCTCAGCAGACCTGGCCCTCATGAGTGACCTGGCTGGAGCTGGGCTGGGTTGCTGTCCAGTGGCTGTGGCCCCACAGCACCAGCACCCGGCCCGCCTCACCAGCTTGCAGCCTTCTGAGGCCATGAGGCGACAGATCTGGTCCACCCTCCCCTGGCAGAGGGGAGATGGCTGTGTGGCAGATGGGAGGACCAAACTCCATGTTGGGACCGGGCTTCTTGTTTCCTGCTCATTCATGTTCCAAGGGCCACCCCCAGGGACACCCAAGGCCTCCTCTGCCCGGCCAAGGACGCAGGTGCAGGAGAGAGTGCCAGGTTTTAGATCTCCTGAGCTGTGCAAACAGTCGTGAAGGTCCCCAGGGGCACGCTGAACAGCATCCCAGTCCGCCCCAGAGGCCACCCGTACTGCTGGGCTCTCAGGCTCATTCCGGTCTCCAAGCTCAGAGCCCCCAGCCTCCCACGCCAGCCCTCTTGCTGCCGCTGGGCATGGTTCAGAGCCAGGAGCCGGTTGGCGTGCCCGCCTGTCCTAAGCACAGGCAGACACCCAGCCCGCTGCAGCCGAGACCCAGGTGGGCTCGGTTGGCAGCCTCTGCGAAGGTCTGCTTGTCCGTTAGGTACTTTCTGCTGGTGACCAAGCCTCTGAGCCCTCGGTGCTCTCAGCCCAGGGCACACTGCGAGGGCTGGCCGAGTTGGCCTGGCGGACACTGCAGGGCAGAACCGGCGTCCGCCCCCTTGGCAGCCAGGCAGCTTTGCCTCTGCAGGTGCCCCCCTCCTGTGAGTGGAGTGAGCACKGTGTGTGCTGCTGGGAGGGCACCTGTGGTGCTGGGCCCACGCCCCCCAYGGCTCCGTGGGCCATGACCAGTGCTTTACTGAAAGCCATGGGCCTGGAAGTCGTTTTGCAGCATTGACAATATAAAGGACCTTTCTGTGGAAAATGGTCACAGGCCACAKGTCACAGGTCACCTGGGCCTCATCTTGCACAGAATCCCCCAGCGTCCCAGATTGAGAGGGGGGCACCGGCTTCAAGGCCACTCGCCTCCAGTGCTCTGTGTGCCCACCCCTCAGCAGGCTGTCACTTCTCCCGCACTCCTTCTCGCGAGGGACCCTCTGAAGCCCGACAGAGGGCTTGTCCAGAGGCTCCCGGCCGAGCCCCCGCCTGGCACTGTGGGGGTCCTCTGGCAGTGCCAGAGGCTGAGCCCTGAGGTCTCCCTCACAGACACGATGCTAAACAGGGGTTTCCATGTCACATCCGGCTGGGCCGARAGAAGGCTCTGCCTACAGAAGGTGCCGATCCTGGCGCCAGTGCTCCAGCTCCAAGCTGGGCTGCAGCTGCAGGCRGGCTGGGAGCAGGGAGGACAGGCAACTGCCCCGCAGACCCAGTCCCCAGGTCCTGCCCAGGCACAAGCCTGGTGTGGCACCTGCAGAGCCAGCTGCACAGCCATCCCCCTCGCCTGCAGCCAGCCCCAGGAGAGTGGAGCTCGGAAGGGCTCAGGCTGCACCTGGCCTGGTCTGAGGACGGGCCGGCTCCCTTGTCCAGAAAGACAAGGTGACTTCCAGGCCTCTCAGCAGAAGCTTTTCATTGCCAGCCTTGAACGTCCTCAGGCGTGGGAGGGAGCTGGCCTTCAGAGAGGGTTTGTCTTCGTGGGTTGGGTAAGGCACACATGCACTCATGCCTGGGGCTCCTCTGTGACCTCTTCACACCCCAGCACCTCTCTTTCATAGGAAAAGGCAGCTTCAGCCTGGAGCAGGCCGTGGCAGGTGCAAACCCACTGGGCACTCTGCCTGTCTCTGACACGCTTGTTCCTTGTTGAAGCATTAAGGTGTCATTGAATGCCCTGGGCATCTGTCTTCGGCCCTGTGCTTCTTGGTACTGAAGGCAGGTGCCCAGTGCACTTACTCTATTTATCACCATTGAGAATTCCTGGTCTCCATCTCCCCCATGATGGGAACACCACTGCCACCCCTGGGGGACACTAGGCAGGAGGAACTCTAACAAGGCAATAGATATAGTCTAGGTCCCGCCTGGCTGGCCAGGGTTGGTGGGCTGGACTAGAGGCCAAAGTAGAGCCTGGCTTTGTGGCAACCACTGTACAGCCTGTCCTGGTTGCTCAGCATCCCCACCTGGGTGCTCCCTACCCTGCGAGTACACAGCCCCCTCAGCTTACAGACCAGAGATCCGTGGGGTCGTTTGGGGCTAGAAACTGCCTTCCTGGCTGGTCTGGGAGGTGTTGGTTGTCACCGTGTTAACTGAAATGCCTTCTCCTCCAGTGTTTGCTGTAGGGTGGGGGCTTGTGGGGCTGCAGCCTGACACAGGCACAGGTCTCCGAGCAGGGTCTGGGCTTTCTCTCCCCGTGGATTGGCAGCTGGGAGCAGATGCCATCACACCCCATCAGTCTTCCTGTGACTTGGAACACAGTCCCAGCATTTTGACAATGGGTGGAGCCAGGAGCCTAGGCAGGCGGGTCCTGGGATTGGCTCAGCTTGGACCCATGGCTGCACATTTCAGGGAGTCTGTGGGACTCGCGTGGAACAGCTGGATGGATGGCAGCTTCTCATGGACGTGGCCCTCACTGGAGCCTCTTCCTCCCTTAGGCTGGAGCAAAACGTCCCACTCACTGGAGGTCCCTGAGGACGAGGGCGGCTGGTCAAGTGCTGAGGAACCCATCAACTCATCTGACGCAGAGGAGGATGKTGGAGTGGGCCCCAAGAAGCTGGTAACCTTGTCCTGCCTGGGTGGTGGTGGTGGGTGCTGTCCCCTGGAGAAGGAGTATTCTAGAAGACCTACCTCAGCCTGGGTCTTGCAAGTGCAGCTACAGTTCCTCACGCCGAAGTGCTCTGTGTTGGCCTGGGTCAGTGTCCATGCCCAAGGTCCCAGCACACTGTGTATCTACAACTTACAGCCCCTGCACAGTGTGTCCTGTCACTCACCCTCCACATGGACAGAATGCACTAATTAAGCTTTCCTAACACTGTATACTGGCGCCTCCATCTCACTTTTTAAGAAATTGAATTATCTTGATTGTGGATTTGCATCATCCCTAGGTATGGGCTCGCATTATAAACCATGTCCTGTTTTTAACAGTACAGCAGGAAAAGTCATTTACATATTAAATTCCATATTAGAGTCGGGATGACCCCCACAAATACCTATTTGGGTCTTTCCCAAGAGGGCGCATTAACACTGGTCAAGAGTGAGAGGGTAGACATGAGGACACAGGGAGGGCGGCGTGGCAGGAGGGACTGGGGCTGGTGAACAGGGGAGAGTAGAAAGGGCAGACAGGAGGACACAGGAGGGACTGGGGCTGGTGAACAGGGGAGAGTGGGGCCTGGGGAGGGGTTGGATCTTGTTCTCAGTGTGGAGATGCTGGCTGCTCTGGGCCCAGTAGGGAGCCAAGGTGGGGTTGTCCACCTGGGGCAGGTAGCTGTGTGAGGAGGATGGGCCCTCACCAATCCTGCCCAGGCCCTGCTGCCAGAGCGCCTCCTGCAGCTCACGTGCTTCTGTGAGGCCAGGAGTGCCCRTGCTGCTCAAGAACAGCCTCTGCTCCTCKGCCCACATTCCACAGCAGAACTRACCCCATAGACAGTGGTTTAGTGTCYACTGGGTACCAGCATTCCCAACACCTGATAATGCAGGGAACACAACAGATGAGGATCTCCTCTCACAGGAAGCACAAAACAGCATTCAGCCTTGTCACAAAGAGAACAGCCTGAGAGGGCCACCTAGAACGAGCCGGCCAGAGGGCAGGCATTCCAGAAGGGGGGTTGCTGAGCCGAGCACGAAGCCCAGTGTGCCCAGCYGCCAGGCCAGGGAGCCTGAGGACGCCTGGCACCCACGCTTGGGTTTCTAACGTGGTGATAACAGGCGCCTAGCAGCATCTTCCTAAAACAGGTCCTTGCTCCCAGGGCGGGGTGTCTTGAAGCCCGCTCTGGACGCACACTCCCTGCCCTGAGTGGCGCTGCCCAGGTGCCAAGTGCAGCACAAGTTCGTGTCCTCTTGCTGGCACYGAGCAGCAGGTGCTGACCCACTGGCACTCCGCCTGTGTCCGTCTCCCGCAGGTCCCTGGGAAGTACACAGTGGTGCTGGACGATGAGAAGGGGGGCCCAGACACCCTCGCCATGAGGAGCGGGGACGTGGTCGAGGTGGTGGAGGAGGGCGCTGAGGGGCTCTGGTAAGGGGTCAGAGCTGGGCCCACCCGGCACCCCGCCCTC